ACAGTTCCAGAACATCCGACTCAGTATGAACCCAGCCTAAGGGAGCCTGCAGACCGCCTGCCGTTATGTTGCTTTTAACCACTTTCGCGCCGGTTACCGCTTCTGCAGCCGAAGTGCAGCGAGTCAGATTTTCTCCATGGGGCGCGTAATCGGGATCGCACTAATGGGACTTGAATGGTTTTGATTCTTCTGACGCTATTTTTTTCCTTTGAAGACTCTCCTCTATGTTTGGCTTTTTGTTTTTAAGTTCACGCATGGTCCTATTTTCGTTGTTTTGACACCTTTGCACGTCATGCGTGCTGTTTTGAATTGAATGTCATGAAACTTATCACTTTTGGTAAGGGAGAAAGGTGCGTGTCCTAGTCGACGCTACCGTAATGTGTTACTCGATGGTTCTGTACTGATGGTTTGCACGCTTCCTCGACCCAGTTCGCAAAACAAGGTTTTTGGGGTGTATCCCGTTACTTATGATTGTCAATTACGTAGTTGCTGCGCGCGACAGACTGGAAATTATCAAGTGAGCGGAGCACTCTGGTAGCCGACTTGCAAAGCCATAGATTTCCTTCTTTGTAAAGATTTACACAATGGAACATCAATTTTTGTTGTTAGATGAAAGTATGGCCAGTTTCTTTGAGGACAGGTAAATCGATCGACGGGAGAGAAGACTTGTCGTTGCCCGGAGTCATGTCGAAGGCTGCAGGAGAGCGACACGCTGCGGATCTGGAGAAGGTCCTCAATGTCATGATGGAGCAGATGCGGCTTCAAAGAAGAAACAAGGGAACAAATGAGGATTGATCGCTACTTTGGCCAACAACCAGAGTGTAGCCGTCCACGATACCAGCAAAGATCAGTAGATCAGCTGAGCAAGCGTGTGCAAAAGTTCGTCTCTTATGAAGATACAGGTAATACGTTTGGCTACTGGTAAAGTATTTACGGATCAATCATAAGCGTGTCCGTATTGTCAGACAACAGGAAGCGTGATGTGGTACTGATGAAGCTGGACGAAGGAGCATACCGAAAGTATGCAGATGAGGTACTGCCTGCCAAACCACACAATCTGGATTTGAGCACAACAATCGGAAATCTACAGGAGCTCTTCCCATACAAGAAAACGTTGATAAGAAGAAGATTGGAGTGACTCAGAGTTCTTGTATGCCGACTACGCCAACGTATGTACGGTTTCGAGGTCACGCCAACACAATCAAGCGGATGGATGAGGACGCTCGACT